TCACGGCTTGCTGGCTCACTCACAGACTCATGCTTGATTGGCTTTCTGATACAGAAAGGCCCACCTGCCCAGGAAATGGCTCCACCTACAGTGGATCAGACCCACCTACACCAGCTAAGATAATCGTTCAGGCCTGGAGAGAGTCAGCTCAGCAGTCAAGAGCACTGACCGCTTTCCCAGAGGACGCAGGTTCTATTACCAGCACCTACTGGTAGCTCACAACTGTCTGTAATTCCAGTTCCAGAGCATCTTCTGGCTTCCCCGGGTACCAGGTACGCACACTTGGCACACACATACACAAAGGCAAAACGCCTTGTGGTGGTTTGAAAGAAAATAGCCCCCAAAGGGAGTGGCACTATTAGGAAGTGTGGCTTTGCTGGAGTAGGTATGGCCTTGTTGGAGGAAGCGTGGCACTGTGGAGGCGGGCTTTGAGGAAGTGTGGCCCTGTGTCTCAGGCCACTTCCTGTTGCCTGTGAATCAAGATGTAAGGACTCTCAGCTCTTTCTCCAGCACCATGTCTGCCTACATGCTGCCTTGCTTCTCGCCATGCCATAATGGAGTAACCTCTGAACTGTCAGCAAGTCACCCCAATTAAATGTTTTCCTTTATAAGAGTTGCTGTGACCAGGCAGTGGTGCACGCCTTTAATTCCAGCACTTGGGAGGCAGAGGCAGGCGGATCTCTGTGAGTTTGAGGCCAGCCTAGTCTACAAGAGCTAGTTCCAGGACAGGCCCCAAAGCTACAGAGAAACCCTGTTTTGATAAACAAAAACCAAACAAACAAAAATCGTTGCTGCGGTCATGGTGTCTCTTCACAGCAATAGAAACCCTAATAAATCTTAAAAAAAAAAAAAAAGACACTGCTCCACAGGCCAGCTTAATCAAGATAATTACTCAACTGAGACTCCTTCTCAGGTGATCCTAGACTGTGTCAGGTTGGCAGTTAACACTAATTAGGACTGGTGGGAAAGAACCATCTGCCCTACCTGGAAGTCACTGCAAGGATGTTGAGGTCACCTGTATCCCAGAGGGACACCTTCCCAAATAGTTCCCTAGGAGTACAAATACCACCTCCATGGGGTAGCTCAGCCTAAGAAGGAAGAGGCAGGAGGGTTGTGGAATAATCGTACGCAATGCGAAGTGCTGTGATTGGTTTAATCAAGACCCGAATGGCCAATAGCTAGGCAGGAGGTATAGGCGGGACTTCCAGGCAGAGGGAGAAAGTAGGAGATGCCATCCAGATGTGGGATGAGCTGGACAGACAAAATGGGAGAGAGGTAAAAGCCGCATGGTAGAACGTAGATTAGTAAAAATATGGGTAAATTTAAGCGGTGCGAGCTAGTGGGGCAAGCCTAAGCTAAGGCCAAGGTTTCATAATTAGTAATAAGTCTGTCATTATTTGTGAGCTGGTGGCCCAAAGGAAAGTCTGACTACACAGGAGGCAAGTTGGGTTACGTACCCTGCTTGAGATCCCGCTGATGTGCCGGTCAAAGCAGGCAGGTGGCTCCTGGGGGGAGGGGGCGCTCTTACGGGGGTGGCTCTTACATGGGTGGCTCTTATGGGGGTGGCTCTTACGGAGGTGGCTCAAAGAGGGGTAGGGGTGAGAACGCCTGATGATACAGGGGGAACAGGATGTTGTTGGGTTCCCAAGTGGTTAAAAATGTATCCTAGGGAATAATAATCTGGGAAAAGCACAGTGTGTGTGTGTGTGTGTGTGTATGTGTGTGTGTGTGTGTGTGTGTGTGTGTGTGTGTGTGTGTACGTGTACGTGTACGTGTATAGGCCAGAGAACCTCAAATGTCATTCCTTAGGTCCTATCTATCCTTTTATATATATACAGGATTCTCTGGCCTGAAGAAGTCGGCTTTGTTCCCAACCCATCTCCCTGCCCATGTGTTCCCCGGGGAATTGAACACCTGTACCTACTGAGCTACACTGTCAGCTGCTGTTGTTTTAAGGTGGATTCTGGAGGCTGGAACTCTGGTCCCCACCGTGGCAGGGCAAGCACTTTACCACCTGAGCTACCGTGCCCACCCATGCGTGGTTTTCCGCTTCTGTTAACCAGCGTAATGCAGAGACTTTTGTGTGTTTCCAATCTGTAACGGTCAGCTCCCAAATGTTGTGCCTGCTGCTACACATACAAGGTCCCAAATTAGACAAGAAGCTTACATGTTCGAATGAAAAAAAGCTCAGGCTGCTGGGCGGTGGTGGCGCACGCCTTTAATCCCAGCACTCGGGAGGCAGAGGCAGGTGGATCTCTGTGAGTTCTAGACCACCTGGTCTACAAGAGCTAGTTCCAGGATAGGCTCCAAAGCTTTAAGCTATAGAGAAATCCTATTTTGGGGAGGGGGGGGAGAACCCTCATCCTCCTGGCCTTCTCTGGCCCAAGGCTAGCTCCTCTGGTTTTTCCTCATCCTGCAGGGCCCTGGGCTCTGTTCTCAGCTCCCTATGGCAGTCTCTCATCATACACAGCCCTCTGTCACTGATGGCTTGTGTGCTACTGACATGCTGGGACTCACCAGCCGGTGGATAGCCCAGACACGCACAGAACCCTAGAACCCCAGGCATGCTGGCTATGACAGACCTGTGGCTTCTCTTGAAGAGAAAAGTCCTCAGCAGCAATCACCAGCCATGAAAGGTTGCCAAAAATTTCCGAAAAGAGACTGTCATGTAAATCCTTGAGAGTGCCCCATAAGAAGCCATCTGTAGGGTTAGGGGGGTGGTCAGTGGGTAAAGTATTTACCTCCCAATGACGGGGACCCAAGTTCAAACCCCCAGAATCACATCTGTAACCCCAGCATTCCTGTGCCAGGCATAGGAAAAAGGCAGGGGCAGAAGAATTGCTGGGTCCACTTTGGTCAGCTATCCTGGACTACAGACGAACTACAGTGGACTACAGTGAACAAGACGGACGTTGAGTCTACACCCAAGGTTGTCCTTTGACCTTCCCATGCTTGCTGCAGAATGCGCAATGCACGTGCCCACACACATTCACATAGATGAAAAAGGAAGACCATGTTGCTAGGGTTCCCGCCTCAGGCGCTGCCCTCTGAGTATTCCAATCTTATTTGCAGCCTCTCAGACCAATGTCAGGCCAACAGCCCTGTGCCAGGTCCTTTCCCCACCCACTTAGCTACTCCCCTGGGGCTGTGACCAAATTGCCAACAAGGAGCAATTTAGGGGGGGAAGGGTTTATTTCTGCTTACAGTTCAGAAAGATACATTCCACCGTGGGAAAAGGGGATGGGAGGCAGCAGCTGGTCACCCCCAATAGCTCAGGAAGCAGAGAGAGAGAGAGGAGGCTGGTACCCAGCTCACTTTTCTTCCTTTCTTGGGTCTAAGGCCCCAGCCCAGGTGGGAGCCATGCACAGTTAGGGTGGGTCTTTCTACCTCAGTTTACCTACAGAACTGTCCTCATAGGCATGCCTACAGGCTTGTCTTCTAGATGACCCTAAATTCTGTCAAGTTGATCACATCAACCTCTCACCATCTCACCTATGTTGGCCAACGAGAACTTCATCCTTCTCAATGCCAGGCCCAAGCTTGGACACCATCCTTAAGTCCTCTCCCGTTACGTTCCACACAGGCCCTATTATCAGCTCCCATGGGCTGGATATTCCTGGATAATCAGGGAACTCAGATTCCCTCTAGGACCTGCCCCCTCCCTGGTACTGCCATTGCTGTGGTGCACACCCTGCAGCTGCCCACTCCAGCACCCTGCTCCCACCCCTCTGCCCAGGTCCCCCCAGCAGGACAGTGAGTGACCACTGTGAAGTCAGCTGACTCTCCTCCATGCGAGCCTGTACTGTTTCCACCCTTCAGTACAAGTCAAAGGCCTTCCACTGACTGTCAGGACCCTGGCATCTGTCTCCAGCCCACGTGCCTGCCTAGCCATCCCTCCTTGGTGCCTGCCTAGTTGGCCTCCCTGCCACTTCCCAGTCACACCTATCTCAGTGCCCTTCCTTCCCGGCACTGCCCCTATTCCTCCTTGGATCCAGAATGCTACATCCTGAGACCGCAATGCCCCAAAGCCTTGGTTCCAGCGTCACCTTCTCAGTGAGTTGGTCTCACTTCCCCTTCATTTCAACTCCTGCTCTTCCCTGCCTCATTCTCCTCAGCCAGCATCCCACACCCAGGACATACTGGCTCCGACAAACCCATGAATGTCCCTCTTCCTGCAGATTCTAAACTGAGAGAGCAGCATAGTGGTTAACATGGACCGTCAACTTGACAGGATCCAGAATCGCCCACGAGAAGAGCTTCTGGGCACGCCTGTGAAGGAGTTCCTAGATTACATTCCCTGAGGTGAGAAGACCCACCTTATGTGTGGGCAGCCAAAATAAAAGAAGAAGTTATCTTGGTGGTGGCAGAGCACTTGGGAGGCAGAGGCAGGCAGATCTCTGAGTTCGAGGCCAGCCTGGTCTACAGAGCAAGTTCCAGGACAGCCAGGAAGGACGTGCGCTAAGCACCAGCATTCACTGCCTGCAGATGCAACATGACCAAATATCTCAGGCTCCTGCTGCCATGGTGCCCCCGCCATGATGGAATCCACACTCCAGCTGTGAGACAGAATAAAGCCCTGGCTAAGTTGCTCTGTCAGCTGCATTGTCCCTGCTCCCGGACAAGACACTAACACGAGAAGGCTTCTTTCCCTTTGGGTATTCTGCACTGGACCTCTGCTGTGTGTTAAAGGCCCCTGATGCAGGACAGGAACGCAACAACCCTTAGAAGAATCCTGCCCCTGGCCTGCACACATTTTTAACTCAGACACTTGTAACTGGGCACTGAAACCCATTACAGTCTGAAGACTCAAAGGAACTGGGCCTAGGGTGTTCTGTGAATCGACCCATTTGTTTCTCAATGGGTGCAGGAGTCGCTTGGGTCAGACCAAGTGAAGACCATCATGAGGTCCCAAGCAGCTCAGCCTTTATCTTCTGCCGTCTTTCATCTTTAACAAGGGGCGTGAAGGAGACGAGGTCTGGAAGAGCAGAGAGACCAAAGAATTCTTCAAATATATTTATCATCTTTTAGTGTTTTTCTTACTTAAAAAATAATACTGATTTTTTTTTCAGGGATTAAAAAAAAAACAAACCAGACCACAGAAGACTGTCTTTCTGAACATGGGGGAAACAGGAGGGGTCAGAGGGAAGACAGGACGGGGAGGTGTGCGTGGACAGAAAGACAGGTGTGAACAAAGGAAGATGGCTGGGGAGACAAGACCATGAAGACGAGTGTGAGTACAGAGAAGGCAGCTGGGCGGACAGGTGTGAACACAGGGAGGGCAGGCTGGACCCTGGTCCCGTGTAGTAAAAGGGATGGCGGCTCCCCTTTCCTTTAAAAGGGGAGGCTCTGAGGTATCAACAACCCAGGCACTTGAAGAAGGAACACGAAGAGAAGTCTCTGTAGTTGCTGTGGACTAGCCAGCCTCTTCCATCTCCAGCAGGTCATCCACGTATTCCACAACCTCTCCCTGGAAGAGAGGGCAGACACATCAGGAGGGCCACGCGGCAGGAAAGGCATCCCAGAGGTCACCACTGGCTGTCGGCTCTGGGTGAAGCAAGTTCCCCTAATGGCTCAGAGCCCAGTAACCTGAGTCCTCTCCCTGAACAGAGTCTTATCTTCCACCCCGTGTGACCTCAGCATCAAGGGACCGGCCACCCCACAGACAGACGACCCGTCTCACGTAGGTGATCTAACCACCACTCTGACAGCCTCCAAATGGTTCCCTGCTCTGGGCGTCCTTCCATCTCCCCCCAGACTCCTCAGTTCTGCCTCAGGAACTGGCACTTTCTGCTTTGACCAGCAGCCCACACTTCCCACACCACCACAGCCAAACTTGCTCTGAGCGCAGCCCTGGGACGCTCTTCTAAGGCGCAGGCCTGAGGATGGAACCCAGGGCTTTGCGCATCGTGGGTAAATGCTATGCCACTGAGCTACGACCCCAGTCCCCACTTCCTCACTGGTACAGCACTTTCATACCCAACTGTGTTCCATTCTGACAGCTTATGGTCGCTCCTATTTCATAAAGGGCTGGCGCTTCCTTCCTTAGTGGCAATGGCCATGTGAAACTCCCCTGACCCTGTCTCCCTCAGAGGTGCTCCCTCCAGAAGTGGAGAGGAGCGAGGAAGGGGCAGCATAGAGCCTCTGGGCCTGGCCCAGCATCTCTCTGAACTTTCCCTCCTCCAGGCTCTCCCAGGATGTGAAGGGCCAGGGCAGAACCAGCTCCCAGATCTCTTCTGGCTCCAAACACAGCAAGTTCCCAGCTTTTGTATAAAGCGTTTTCCAGTTCCTTCCAAAGACATCCATCTAAATAAATTATAGGGGCGTCCACAGATGGCTTCTCCGTGGTCCGGATGCCCCTCCATTCAAAGTCAGGATGCATCAAGAAGAGATATCTGCTGTACAGTAGGTAGAGTGCACGCCTGGTGCCTGGCGTGTGTCAGGCCAGCAGCAGGGTCAGAAGTTCAAGGTCATCCTCAGCTACACTGCCAGCTGGAGGCCAGCCTGTACTACATGAGACGCTGTCTCAAAACACAAAACACCTCAAACAAACAAAGGGTTGGCTAAGGGAGATCCAGTCAGGGAATCGGCTGCCACAACAGGATGAACTACTGGCAGAAAGGACATAATTATAACCTGGAAGAAGAATGGAATGCAAAGTGTCTCCTGCGTGTAAAACTCACGACACAAGAAATGACGGTGTGGGAGCCTGTGAGATAGCTCAGTGGGTAAAGGTGCTTGCTATAGAGCCCAACGACCTGAGTTCAATCCCTGGCACCCACGTGGTGAAGGAGAGAACCAGCTCACCCAAGCTGTCCTCTGACCTCCATACTGGGGTTGTGACATGCCCCTGCCCCTCCCACACACATATAAATAAGGTTTGAAAAAAAAACAAAACATGGCATAGTGAGACACACATATTCACTAGCACTTGAGACTTGGGCAGGAGAAAGGGCAGTTCAAAGCTAGCCTGGGCTACATATCACTTCTGGGGCTAGCCTGGGCACATGGAAAGACCTTATCTTTAAAAAAAGTGGGGGTGAGTTGGGGAGATGACTTCGTGGATAAATGCCTGTTGCTCAGGCTTAAGGACCTGAGTTCTGATCCCCAGTAGGCATGTAAATACCGCCAAGGCACAGTGGCACAGGTTTGTCACCTTGACACTGGGGAGGACGACAGAGGAAGGCGGACCCAGGAGCTTGCCACCTGGTCACTCTGGCTGAATGAATAGACTCCGGGTTCTGCAAGACTCCGCTTCAAGAAATCAGGTGGAGGGGTCAGCAAGATGGCTCAGTGGGTAAAGTAATTGTCCTGCAAGTCTGGTGACCTGAATTCAATCCCTGGAACCCACACAAAGGTGGAGGGAGGGAACCGACTCCACAGGGTTGTCCTCTGACCCCCACGCACGCAGTGACAAGTGCCCCCAACTTGCACACACACACACACACACACACACACACACACGGACACACACACGGACACCTGGTGCATACTCCAAACGCATTTCCCCCACAGAAGAAATAGCGGTGCAGCCTTGGCCTCCTAGAAAGCTGAACTCTTTCCACACCAGAGCCCTGGCTTTCATTAAAACCCCCACAGCAGCTATTTCCTCGAGGGCCTCTTCTGTCTCTTGAGGGAGGACTCAGCCTGCGGGGACTCTGACAGAGACATGAGTCATGGTCTCTCTCAGGCAGGCGTGTGCAGAGCACGGAAGCTGACCTCATCATCATCCATCAGGTGCTCCTGGGCAAAGCTGTACAGTTCCTTCTGGAGTGTCGTCACGTTAAAGAACTGAACCGCCTCCTGTTCGGACACACGAGAGAACCATCAGACAGCCAGGTTTCTCGTCTGAGAGCAGACAGCAAGTGGGCACGGGGCACTGGACTTCATTCAAGGGATGAAAGCGTTCACGAGCGTACAACGGGAAGGTTGTGCAGATGGCAATGTACCCGACACTCTGAACTATGCAGATATGAAGGCAAATTCTATCAGATGTAGACGATATCACGGTTCTTAGCGTGGGGGAAGGGTCTGGGCGTACTTGGTATCAAGTTGCCTGGCATGCTCGAAGCCCTGGGACCCACCCCAGGACGGTATGGACCAACTGTGGCAGTGTGTGACTGCAATCCTGGAACTGGAAAGAGGAGCCAGAAGACGTTCAGAGTTATCCTCAGCAAGTTCAAGACCAGCCTGTGCTATATGAGACCCTGTCTCAAAAACAAAACACAAAACGCTGGGAGTGCAGCTCAGTGGTAGAGCACTTGACCGGTACACACAAGGTCCTGGGTTCGATCCCCACAGCATAAAAAAAAGGAGAAACTGAGTAAATGTGTACATGTGTGTTCAGCAAGGAACTGATATATGGAAGATTTACCTATGAAAACCTAGTCTGGGTTTCTGTTTTTTTGGGACAGAGTGTTGCTTTGTAGCCCAGCCTGGCCTCACACTTACGATAGTCCTCTTGCTTCTGCATCCAGAGCGCTAGAATTACAGTCATATGCCACCATGCCAAAAGTGACAAATATATTTTAAGTCACATATAATTAACCCCCTGACAATAGGTATAAAGCCTCAAATTTATCTGCCAAAGGAATTAAGTGATGGTTCATCCATGAACGTCTATAACCCCGGCACTTGGGAGGCAGAGGCAGAGGCAGAGGCATGAGGACTGCAAATTTGGGACCAGCCTGGGCTAGACAACAAAACTCTGAAGACCAAAGGTTGGAAGTGACTCAATGGTGGGGCACCTGGTTAGCATGTGAGAGCTCCTGGCTTCTAACACCATAAAAGTGGTGAAGGGGGCATGGGGGGTGGGAAGGGGACTGGGACAACAAAGTAAGTTACAAAAACAGCACGTGTAGTAGAATCCTAATTTTGTACAAAAAATAAAATGCAGAAAGGCTGAAGAGATGGCTCAGAGGTTAGGAACACTGACTGCTCTTCCAGAGGTGCTGAGTTCAATTCCCAGCAACCACATGGTGGCTCACAACCATCTGTAATGAGATCTGATGTTCTCTTCTGACTTGCAAGCATACACACAGGCAGAACATTGTAAAAGATAATAAATAAATAAATCTTTAAAAAAAAAATAAGTGCAGGCCGTGTGGATAAGTAAATACAGGGACTCAGAGAAGGAATTGAATAGTTGTGGGGACCTGGAGAATGGCTCACTGGGTAAAGCTGCTTGCCACCAAGTGTGACCCCTTGGGTTCAATCCCTGGGACCCACATGTGGAAGGAGGGAACTGATTCTCATAAGTTGTCCTCTGATCTCCACATGCATGCTGTTGCATGTGCAGGACCACATACACACACACGATAAATAAGTAAAAATATTAAAAAAATTAAGCAGGGTCTGATGGCATAAGCCTCCAATCCTAGCAGTCAGGAGGCCGAGTCAAGAGGGTCTCTGTGAGTTCAAGAACAGCCTGGTCTACACAGTGATTTCTGGGTCAGCCAGGGTTACAGACTCAGGGCCTGATTCAAGAGGGGTAGGGGAAACCAACGGTAACCAGAAGCAGAGAGAGTTCTTTCATTTCAGAATTGATTCTCTGTCTGAAGGAGGAAGGAAGGAATGGGACCCAGTGTGGGACACTCACGGGTCTGGGCTGGAAATGCTCGTCCGAGAGGCCCCACTTGTCCCTGTGGTACTGATAGTAGACCAGATTCTGTTGCATGACCTTGTCATCCTTGTCGAAGAGCAGGTAGCTGACGGCGCAGGGGGCTGCGTTCTTTAGATCGTTCACTGGAACCAGAGAGAAGAGGCTAAGCAGGCGGGCAAGCGGGGCTACCCCAGGACCTTCCTCCAGGCCCTCCTCTAGAAAACCCTTGACCTCAGAAGGCGAGTAGGGCACAGGCTAAAGGAGGCAGGGGCCTCGAGCCACCCGCAGGGTGTGCTGACTGGCTGACTTCAGACGATCAGGGCTGGTCGCAGGAGGTGGGTCTCAAGGCCTGGGACACACTGGGATTGAGGAAGACAGAGGCTGTTTAACTACAAGCCTCCCACTGGAGGCTGAGTTCCTGAGTCCTACCAGGCTAGGAAGACAATATGAGAGGAGGTGGGTCCTCCTCCAACCAAACCAAATGTGGAAGGCATAACAAAGGGCTGGGGGTATGGTTTAATCAGTAGAATGCTTTCTGAGCATCCATGAAGCCCTGGGTTCCATCCCCAGTTCTCCACAAACCACACATAACAGCATAGTCCCAGCACTCGGGAGGTAGAGGCAGGAGGCTCAACAGTCAAGGCCATCCTTGGCTATACAGTGAGTTTGGGGCCAGCCTGGGCTACAGGAGACTTGGTTTCTGGATAGAGATAGATAGATAGATAGATAGATAGATAGATATAAATAGATGAATGATAGATAACACAACAACTCCAAACTGCAGAAACCAACAAGATAAACCCTGGTAGGCCCTCAAGACTGGAAGAGTCAAAGGTCACCTTGTCCTGCCATCTCCTGGATACAGGGGTGCAAACCTGTTCCTGCCCCACTGCTCAGAACTAGACCCCCACATCACCATCAACATAAGGACTCTGCAGAGTGGCATTGTCTTGGGAGGGAGGGGAGTCAGGCAAAGCAGAAATGAGACACAAAACCCAGGGTATTTATTCAGGCACCTTCTAAGGCCACTTCTATTAGGTAACAAAACTCTGGTAGGCAGGAATGACCCAGCTGAAGATGGCTCAATTGTGCCACCTAGTGGTTGTTTTCTGTCATGACAACTTTAAAACCTGAACTTCAAGGCTCTTCCCACACAGTTTGCGCATGAAGGTTTCAAACGTAAATTACACCTACGTTCAATGAATGTTAATTTTTATTTAGACTAGCTATCTACATCCCTGGAAAGCAAAGATTTCCCAGGGAACAGGAGTCAAGCCCTGAGGCTCAGAGTCTCTGTTCTAATCGGAGCCAAAGGCCTCTTCGCATGTACATGGCCTTAATGAGCCTTCTCAGACACCATAGCTGGTAATAGGAAAGTCTTGGGACCTCATTCAAGGTCCTGCATGGGGTTACTTACACTTATAATAGGCGAACTGCAAATAGTGGTACATGGTGGCCACGAATTTCTCCACGGGGTAGCCTCCTATGACCGGGGTGAGGGTCTCCTCGCATTGAACCTTGCATTCCAGAACTTCTACATAATGATCTGCAAAACAGATATGAATTCTCAGAACAGTCTCAACCTCTCTCTCTCTCCTTCCCTCCCTCCTCTCCCCTCCCCTCCCTCTCTAGGGATGAATCCCAAGGCCTCACACACTCTCAGCAATGAGTCTTCCACCATTACTAACTCAGCCCCAGCCCATTACTACCTTCGCTCTGGCTCTGCCTCCCACACACATACAGGTAAAAGAAAAAAGAATACATTTAAAATAAAGAACTTGGAGCTAAGGGCTGGCTCAGCAGTGAAGAGCCCTGGCTGCCCTTCCAGAGGACTCAGGTTCAGATCCCAGTATCACGTGGTGGCTCTCAACCGCCTGTAACCTCGGTTTTAGGGATCCCATCACCCTCTTTGGGCCTCCACAGGCACCGGGCACATATGCAGTCATAGACACACATGCAGGCAAAGTACTGATAGACATAAAAACAAAACAATAAATTAAATAAATCAAGGTACATCCATATTTAATATTCAGAGTCTTAAGATCAATAAGAAAATGACAAACACCTATGATAGAATTGCCAAAGGGGGCTTGGGGTAAGGAAGATGGCTCAGCAGTTAAAGAGGCTACCACCAAGACCGAGGACATAAGTTGAATCCTTAGCACCCACGTAATGGGTAGAGAGAACCAACATCCACGAGTTGTCATCTGGCCACAAGGGTGCACAGCACTGGAGCCCCACCCCCTCAGCACAAAATAAAGACAAAAATATGACTTAAAATATTTTAATGGCCAAAGAATGTTAATGTGCATTAATATAAACAGCAATGGAGCTCTGTCGAGACACGATGGCTCCTTGGCAGCGAGCAGCGCCACTTTCTGAACAGTTTAAACCGGCAGGAGTCTAGCTCGGTGGCAGTGGGCTGACCTGACAGGCCCGCAAAGGCAACAATAGCAAATTGTCAGCATCTCACACAGCCGGGGCTGGCTTCAAACTCCTGTGTAGCTGAGGAAGGCCTTGAACTCCTGATGCTCCTGGCTGAGACAACAGGGGCGCCACCGTGGTGACCAGATAATGCAGAGCTAGGAGCTGAACCAGGGCCTGTGCAAGCTAGGTAAGTTCATTAACTGAGCTACACCCCCCAGCCCAAATTAATATAAATTCTATGTGTGAAGTTGGAGGTGTGAACTGCAAAAATGAAAACCAGAAGAGAGTTTAACATATTATGGCCTCCTCTATCAAAAATAAACACACAAAACATGGGGAAATACTTATATATGAGTAACCTTTACAGAAAAAAAATGATAGAGGCGAGAATCTTGAGGGGCAGAGCTGGGACTGAGGAGGAGAGGCATCTAAGGAATGTGAAGTCCTTAGGTCTGGCTGTTAACATCTAACTGGTCAGGAGAGAACGCCAACCCTGCTACTGCTACCACAGACAGGGAGAACACTAACTAAATGCTTTAAAATGAACAGCCCTGGGCTAGGGACGGAGCGTAGGGGTTGAACATTCCTGTAGCATATGTGAGGCCCTAGGCTCAATCCCCAGCACTGCAATAAAAAAAAAAGTAAAATAAATAGCACCTTCTATAAGAGAGTAAAGAAATCACACATCTCTGGGTGTGACATTCTGCGGCTACTTCTGGTGCTCTAGCCAAAAATGGACACTCCCAATAAAACTGTCATAAACCAAATAATCCTGCTCATTGGCTTGTTTTTGTTGTTATTTTTTGAGAATGGGTCTCACTCTGTAGCTCTGGTTGTCCTGGAAGTCACAGAGATCTGCCTGCCTCTGTGTCCCTCATTAAAGATAAGTGCCACCATGCCCAGCCCAAATGAGAAATACTTACAAACTAATTAGCCTAAATGTCTCTAAAGGATTATTGGTGGCCCGGTGGTGGTGGTGGCGCATGCCGTTAATCCCAGCACTCGAGACACAGAGGAAGGAGGATCTCTGTGAGTTCGAGGCCAGCCAGGTCTACAGAAGGAGTTCCAGGACAGCCTGAGCTGTTACAGAGAAACCCTATCTCAAAAGAGAGAGGGAGAGAGAGAGAGAGAGAGAGAGAGAGAGAGAAAGGAAAGGAAAGGAAAGAAAGTTGGTGATGCAGATAGAAAGGAAGCAACACGGATGAGAAATTCTCAAGGACGTGGAGATGGGGAGGACAGAAAGCTAGAAATGAAAAACTCAATGAAAATTAAAAACACAGTGACGTCATTACCAGTGATTTCAGAAGAGAGTATGGAGATGGAAAACAGGTTGAGGGAAGACTCGTTCAGATGTCAATAAAAAAAAAAGCAAGCATGACCACCTTCTAAGAACTCCACCATAGTCAAAAGCCAAACCTAAACTGAGTGTAGTCGCTCACACCTTTATTCCCAGCACTCAGAAGGCAGAGGCACGAAGATTTCTTAAGTTTGAGACCAGCTTGGTCTACCTAGCCAGGACAGTCTGGGCTACACAGTGAGACCTTGTCAAAAAGAAAAACAAATGTCTTTCCTGTCTTAAGAAAGTATTCCTTGCTCTTTTTCGTGGCACCTCCTAGGCAGCCGGCTGTGTGTCATCTCATCCCCTGCCACCAGCTGTCAGAAACTCAGTGACATTGATGATGAACGCAAGCTTCACATGTTCTGTGAGAAGCACACAGCCATGGGAGTAGCTGCTGATGCTCTCGGTGAAGAGCAGAAGGGTCATGGGGTCCAACTTGGTGATAAGAATGACAGACAAGGCTTTCCCAGGAAGCAAGGCGTTTTGAGCCATGGCAGAGTGTGCATGCTGTTGAGTACGGGGCATTCTTGTTATAGAGTAAGGAGATCTGGAGAGAGGAAGTGCAGGTCTGTTCGTGGATGGATTGTGGATGCCAGTCTGAGTGCTCTCAACACGGTTATTGTAACAAAAGAAGAGAAGAATATTCCTGGACTGACAGGTATGACTGTGCCTCATCAGCTGGGACCTAACAGAGCTTGCAGAATCCAAAAGCGTTTTAATCTCTGTAAAGGTGATGTACCCTGTATGTTGTCAGAGAGCCCTTAAAGAAAGCAAGAAGCCCAGGACCAAAGCACCCAAGATTCAGCGGCTCGTTTCTCCATGTGTCCTGCAGCACAAACACTGATATGCTCTGAAGTGATGGGGAAGCTCAGTCAATCACATCTGGCTAGGGTGTGGCTGTCTGGAGCCCAGGAAGATAAATGGGGGTAGAGGTAGATAGGTGTGTGCACTCTCTGCATGGTGCTCGCCTGACCCATTTGGACTTCGGACCTTCTACTCCAGTAGTGTGAACTTCCCCGTTTTTCAATTATTAAATTATATTTGTTGTTTTGAGCTGATCTGGTTATTTTAGCGTACTGATCAAATACGCCTTCACTTATACTTGGCACCCAACATGGGGCTTTTAGAGCCCTTTACGGCTCTGGTCAATTGGGGCCGTGCTGCATCCATTTGGGTATAGATACCTGCATCTTTGCACGCTCTTCCCCCACTCCGCTCCATGCTGGGCCGCTTCCCAGATTTGCAGTCACCTCTCAGGCCCCTTTGTCTTTATCATGCCTTTTATTGCATGTATATGTCTGTATATATCTATATAGATGATGCTTAAGTTTTCCACAATAAACAATAAACAATGAATTTTCCTGCAGTAATCTTTGAAGTTTCCAGGAAGAAGATGGGGCCCCACAACAACAACTCCACTTGGTTAATATGACATCATGATGCTGATAACGCTACTACAAGACCTGTTTGGGGTATCAGCTGCACAAGATGGTTCCGACTTGGTTAGCTAAAATGGTGCACATCTTTTACAACATTCTGGCCAGACCTTCACAAAGTACTCAAAGACTATTTGCAATTTTACCAGACCAAATATTAATCTTGGAATTTAACCATCATTTACTTTCACAGGACCCCCTAGGAAGAACATTGCCCCCATGACAGCTGAAAGTAATTTTAGAAGATGATGTCCCCTCTCCCAGCAAAGTTTGCCCTCAGCTTTAGGGACATCATTTAGGGGTTGGTTATAATTGGTATAGGGTTGAGGGATGGGGGAGGAATTTTATAGGCTCAGGAGTGTTCTTGAAAAAAGAAAACAGAGGGATAATAGATTGGTATTTATGGATTATTGTTTTTAGAAAATTATATTAGTATCGATTCTTGTATATTGATACAAAGTTAAATTATATTGAATATTGTATGCATGTATGCTTCTACCTCTGTTTAAAACATTTTTTATGTATTGATATATATATATTGTATTGTATATATTTACCATATTGAAGTGTACATTTCTACCTCTGATTAAGATACTTATCTATTGTTTATGTATTTATACATTTCTACCTCTGATTAAGATTCTTATATATTGTTTATGTAATGATATACATTGTTTACATTTGGAGGTCATTGTCCTCATTTATTGCACAGTTGTTTATTCTCTTAGTCTTTAAGTTAGATAGGTATTAAGAATTGTAGATCAATAGTCATCTATGTCTGTCATATTTATAGTTAGGCTAACCAGGTTCTTTAGATACATAAGATTATGTTCAGTATAGATAGTATAATCTTCAACCTCTTCAAAAAAGTTGTAGAAAATGGCATTTAAGCTAATTTAGAGTTCTGTGGTAGTGAGACACAATTGCTCCTGGCAACACCGATCTATTCCCGAGAGATTGTTGAGCACCAAAAACACTCCACTTGGAGCTTGTCTTCTTCTTTGGGCAAAGTAAAGCCCATACCTTGACCACTGACAGAGATACAGAGTATCCAGAAATGGATAAGTAGAACTGTCAAATCTTGCCAAGAAAAATAATCTGTCAGTTATGTTAGGCCTTAGCCAAAATTGGTTGCTTCAACATTGTAAATAAGACTTTGGGTGATTACCCAGGTAGTCAGTTGTCTCTGTCATTTTCTGGACATTTTGGAAGTTTCTCGATTGTACTTCCTGTTTACTCAAGTAATATTACTTCCCTTCTCATATCTTTAATGAAGTTGAAGATTAGATAATTGTAGTTACCCTCCTCATGATTTAGCTAAACTTAATTTCAATACATTATTTAGACTCCTTGAAATAGAATGTTTAGTAAAACTTTTGTTATGCGTTTCTTGCTTAATATTGTTTACTGCCTATTATTTATTTTATATTTGGTATCTGTTTGTATTGTATTGGGTTTGGTTCGATCTTGTTTATACAAAAGGGGGAGATGATGGGGAAGCTCAGTCAATCACATCTGGCTAGGGTGTGGCTGCCCAGGTAGATAAACGGGGGGGGGGGGGTAGATAGGTGCACGCCTGACCCGTTTGGACTTCGGACCTTCTACTCTGGTAGCATGAGTTTCCCCGTTTCTCAATTATTAAATTATATCTGTTGTTTTGAGCTGGTCTGGTTATTTTAGCATACCGATCAAATACACCTTCACTTACGCTGAAGAAACAATGCACTAACAAAAACAAGGAGGAGTATGCAGAACATGCTAAACTTTTGGCCAATAGAATGCAGGATGCCAAAGAAAAGGGACAGGAATGGATTGCCATGAGACGTAGGCTGTCCTCACTGAGGACTTCTGCTCCTAAGTCTGGGTCCAGTCAAAAAGAAGTCTTTAAGGGTAACAAATAAATAATCATACTTGGAAAAAAAAAAGTGTTCCTCAGATGTCAATCAAGGCTCCTGGAGCACAGGCCCCGCCCACCACCAACCTGCAATGGACAGGTAGAAGTCCTTGAAGTCCTTAATCTCCCTGGAGCCTTCGCAGGCAGCCAGGCACTCATAAAAGGCTTTCAAGAAGTCAGGGAGTGCCAGCTCCATGTCCGTAATGGATGTCCTCCAATTCTCCCCATTGTACGCCCGCACCGCTCGGACAAACAAATTCTGGAAAACAAGGAGATGCAGTGAAGCTCCCTCCTGGCAAGCAAAAGACACGCTTGTCCCTCCCAAAAAATTGTGACCTTGATGGAGCCTGGATTCCCCTTGACTCGGTACAAACCAAGCACCGTGTCCATGTGCGTGGATCTGCCTATACGCTCACCAGAGGTACATTCTTATAAAAACAGAATCCAGGATAGCCCAAGCTGACTTCAGACTCCCAGAGTAGCTGAGAATGACTTTAACCCCTTTTTTAAAAACTTATTTTTACAGTCTATTTAGTGTGGACTTAAAGAGTCAGATAACAGTTTAGGAGACATTTCTCCCCTACCACCCTGTGAGTCCCGGGGATCAAACTCAGGCAGATCCCCAGCCTCAGCAGCAAAAACCCTTACACAGTGAGCCATTCTGCAAGCCCAAGAAATCACAGGCATGTACGTACCATCACGCCCTGTTTTATACAACACTGGGGGCTGAACTCAGGGCTTTGTGTGTCTAGGCGAGCACTCTACCAATTGAGCTATATCCCAGCCCAAATGACTATATTTCTTCTTTTAGTTCAACTTAAAATACTGCAAGTATTTGACAATGAAACCAAAATCAAACCAAGGAAACAGTAAAAGAAATCAGATCAATAATTCCCAGGAGTCAGGGGCTGGGTGACAGCCAGAATGAAAAGGGACAGGAGAGAACTTGTCAGGCTGAGTGACAAAGAAACTCCTCGCCGTGCTCCCGGTAGCCGTCACATGACACGTGAAGCTGTCTCAGATCACTGAGTTATGTAAAGTTCATTAACGCTTAGATAAAAGGGCATGGTGGTGTGTGTAGTTCTGCCAGGCTTTGACCCTGAAGCCGTCATCAATGCGCCAATCTCCCAAGCACTGGGATTACAGGCAAAACCACCATGTCCAATTTGTTGATGTTTCTTCATGGGAATTTTGTGCTCAGCCAGTTTCCTACCATCGTAATTCAGCAAATATTACAGAAAACAACACAAGCATCTTTAGACATCAGCATCTGGGCCAGCAAGAAAGCTCAGTGGATAAAGGTACTTGCCACCAAGCCTGAGAACCTGAGTTCAAATCCCAGACCCCCAGGGTCAAAGAAGAAAACTACACGTTGTCCTCTGACCTCCACACAAGTTCGCTTGCTCTTGCTCTCTCGCTCTCTCTCTCTCTCTCTCTCTCTCTCTCTCACACACACACACACACACACACACACACACCTCTCTTCTCTCTCTCTTTTTAAATAATTAGAATGTAATTAAAAGGGAAAACGACACTAGTTGCTCCCCGAGACATGCTTCTTTAACATAACCTGTTGCACCAACTGCGGGGTGAAGCCAGCGAGTACCTCGTATGACTTGGTCTCCAGGTCTTTAATGTGGTCCTCAGCTCCAGGCAAGCTCTTGTAATAGGCCATGTTTCTCTTCATCATCTCATCGTCGGGGTGCTTCAGAAGGTAGGTGTGAGCCGCAGCGATGGCCTTCGGGAGGTCATTGGCCTGAGCGCAAGGCGAGAGGGTCACGGTTCAGACGCATGCTGGACCTTGCGTTTGAGAACTGAGAGCTTCATCTCAGCAACTCCTCCCCCTCTCTCCCTACTTTTCTCTTGACCCAGTCTTAAGCAGCTCAGGCTGGCCTCAAGGCTGAGGATGACCTTGAACTTCTGACCTTCTGTCTTTACTTCCCCAAGTGCCTGGATCACAGGCATCCAGGAAGACACCCAGTTTTACGTGTTGATGGGGCTCAAGCCCCGGACTGTTGCAAGCCAGGCAAGTACTCGACTAACTGATCTATAGTCCCAGCCTCTTCAGGGACTTACCTAAATAACACTTCCGGTTAAGAGGTCAATGACTTTTCAAGGCCTATCAAGACCTGGGCCAGCCGTTCTGATGAGCCTTTGTTCCCAGAAGGTGACCGTGAGATGGCTTCACTATGCCTTTCCTCATCTACTCTCCACGGTCCCCACCATCCTGGCCCCAGGAGGACGGCCTCTGTGGCACTGACAGCAGCCCCCAGGCTCTCTGAAGCTAAAAGGGAGGGGTGTAGTCTCTTCCATCTGCTGGCTCTCTCCCTTAGGTCACCCCTTGATAGGGGAGTTCAGCCAATCACATTCTGTTTTGGGGGCGTGCCACCCTCAGGCTAAAGCCTGCCTATAAACCTAGTAAGCGCGCTAGCTCTCTTTCGCCTGGCTCCTGCGCCTGGACGGATCGTTTGAATTCTGGTGTAAGCTGTTGTAAGTCTTACTTCTGTTTATTAAAGCTGTATATTTTGTATTAAGATAGTCTGGGGATTTTTCATTACCAATCGCCCTGCGGCATCAACCCCTGACTGCAATGGTCTCAAACTGAAGGTCACAGATCCTGTCAAGGTGGCCTTCTCTACATGGTCACTCCTTCCAACTTCTAAGTAACTGCTCACTCCCTCGCTCCTTCCAGCCGAGGGTTGGGTACAACCGAGTGGCACTATGCTGGGGGATTAAAAATCCCTTGTCGGGGGCTGGAGAGATGGCTCAGAGGTTAAAAACACTGACTGCTCTTCCAGAGGTCCTGAGTTCAATTCCCAGCAACCACATGGTGGCTCACAGCCATCTGTAATGAGATCTGGTGCCCTCTTTGGTCTGGTGACACACATGCAGACACTGTCTACACAATAAATAACAAAATTAAAAAAATTAAAAAATAAAAGAAAAAGATCCCTTGTGGGTCCCTGCACCCGCACGCACTTTGATAAACAACCATCTCAATAAATTTTCTCTTCTGCGGCAACCTTGTCAAGCACTGTTTCCAGATCTCTCACAGAACCATCTGCCTCCCTTCTCAGGGACCTCGACTCCCTCTCTCTGGCTCACCTACTTCACAAATACTCCACAATATTCGTGAGGCATCTCCTGTACGGAGTCACTGTTTTAGAGATCAGGTCAGTGACAATTCATCCAGAGTCTGCAGGGACAGCCAGGTCCAGAGCCCTGGGTTTAGTGCTGACCACCTGATCGGTATTACCAGGACAGATAGGTATGCCAGGGGGTGGGGGAACCTTAGGCGACAGTGTGATAATAAATCTCCATCACCAACATGAGAGCCAAGGAGGAGACAAGCCTCTCAGCATGCTGGTGAGGAGTTATCTATGTGAAGTTTCAATTGGGATAATCCACCAGCTGTGGGTAAACACCATTCTATAGCCTGGGTTTCCAGACTTAAAATAGGAAAGGTGAGCTGTTTACCGGCATGCATTTCTCTCTGCCTCTTGACTGGGGACACATTGTGGGCGGCCACCTCATGCATTAATGCCTTGACTTCCCCCCATGATGGACTCTACCCTCAAACTGTGAGCCAAACAAGCCTTCCTTAAGGTATCTCTGTCGGGCATTTTGTCGCAGTAACCAAAAGAGCAACTAACACAGGCAGGCAGATGGTGAGGAACCAGCTTCCCTGTGGGGAGACATAATAACCTGAGAGTCCCCTGTTGACAGAATCCTGGCAGAGGGAAGGGTCCCCATCATGCGTGCAGATAGGGCCTCCTTCAGCCTACCAAAGGAACACTCTGAGGCAGACATGGTGGTTAGGGTTAGACACACACACACACACACACACACACACACACTCAGAGAGAGAGAGAGAGAGAGAGAGAGAGAAACAGGGAGAGAACATGTGAGACACATCAAATTCTTGAGAATAAGGGTAGGAAAGGTGGCATCATCTGTACCAGAATGCCCCTAAATTTGAAGCAAGTCATCAGATACAATGGTGGTTTCCACGTGGCGAGGGGGTGGGTGGAGAGGAGGGCAGGCCCCCAGATGTCGGCTGACAGTGTAGCCTGTGGCTGATAGGACTTGGGCGGAGGCCTAGGCTGGCAGGTAGAGAGAAGGGAAGGTCTGAATGCAGCCAGTGACATGAGACTTGATCTGGGAGAACATTTAAGGAGAGGTACAAGGGCCAGCAAGATGGCTCAGTGTGTAAAGGTGCTTGCCACCAAACTGGATGGCTAAGTTTGATGCCTGGAGCTCACATGCTAGGAAAGAGCAGGCTCCCAACAAGCTGTCCTCTGGCCTTCACACACGAACAGTGTGTGCCCCTTGTGCACACATGCATAAACACACACACACAACAATTAATGGATAAAAGCAAAACATAAAATATCTTTCTTAACCAGAAAAAGCAGAAACTGGGTTTTAGGAGTTTTCTCTCGGCCATGCTCTGTGAAGGCCCAACAAGCTGAGGCCTTTCTGTACAGCAACTGGAATTCCAACCTCCCAAGCAAGGACTTAAAGGGCAGGGAACTGCAATTTGTAGCTATTTTTAGCAAGCAATCACTGGCAGAAGTTAAGCAGCCATAAAGAGGAGGCAGTGAACTATGTGTGTTAAATTCTAACAGAGAAGGAACAGAGATAGCCTGGTGAACCACAGGGCACAGACTTCTGTCCCCAAAGAGCAGGCCACATTATGAAGCCCTTTCTCCAGTTCCAGGTACTTTATTGGGGCATCCCGAGACATATTTGCCACCTTACAAGAGGCTGCGACAATTTTCACAGATGCTGGGAGGGGCGGAGCGTACAGAAGGTATGCAGGCAGGAGGATGAAGAATTCAGCCTCAGCCTCAACTACACACCAAGTTTGAAGCCAGCCCAGGTTACATAAGCCCGTGCTTCAAAAAGAGTGGGGGAGGGGGAGGAATTTTCATGATTAAGATGAGGGAGGAAGGGCAGTGTTTTTGTACACTGTGAACTTGTGTTGCTCTCATTGGTTTAACAAAGAGCTAAATGACCAATAGCTGGGCAGGAAAAGGTTAGGCGGGACTTATGGACAGGAAAAAAAAAGTGTGGGGGAAAAGGACAGAATTACGAAGAGAGGCAAAGAGAAGTAAGAGGAATATGACATATCATGTAGTAGAGCATAGATAAGAAATATGGGTTAATTTAAGATGTAAGAGCTAAGTCTGGAGAGATGGCTGAGAGGTTAAGAGGTCCTGAGTTCAATTCCCAGCAACATGGTGACTCACAGCCATCTGTAATGAGATCTGGTGCCCTCTTCTGGTGTGCAGGAAGAACACAGTATACATAATAAATGAATAAATCTTTTTTTAAAAGATGTAAGAGCTAGCTAGCCATAAGCCTAAGCTATTGGCTGATCATTTACAATTAATAATAAAGTTTCTGTATTGTTATTTGGGGAGCTGGTGGTTCCAAAGAAAAACTCAGGGCAGGATTTGGAGAGCTTTGGAAGAGCTGTTTGGAAGAACCTGAGGGAAGGAGACTGGAGCCATATCTCAGTAGGGGAGGGCACTCAGGTTGCATTGGGTGGCTCACAACCTCCTCTAATTCTAGCTCCATGGTATCTGCTGCCCTCTTTTGGCCTCCAAAGGCATTCATACATATGTGGCATGGTATACACACACACACACACACACACACACACACACACACATAAATATAAATAAAGAAAAAATTTTAATTCAAAGGATTGATGCTCAACGTTGAAGGAAAGGGTGATCTAGAAGAGGTCTGATATGGGATGTTGCTGGTGGGTGCTCAGAAGGGTGGGGCTCGGTGGGAAGATGCTCAATGGAATAAGGTGGAATCTGGGGGTGGTGTGGAGGGAGACTTGGTGAGGTGGGGCTCAGGGGCAGCCCGGAGGCAAGGCTCTGTGGAGCCAACCCTACTGCAGAGTTGGAGAGGTTAGGAGGTGAAGTGTGGCTCTGGGAATTGGCAGGAAACTCAACTGGGCGGGGCTCCGTTGAGGTGGGTTTTGGGACAAGATGGGGACCCTGATCAGTGGGACACGGTTTGAGAGAGGGTGACTGTGGGGAGAGCCCTCAGCAGAACTGGAGTGTGGTGGGCGGGGCTCCAATGGGCGGAGCTCCACTAAGGGGCGGGGCTATCAGAACTGCAGGCCTGTTGGGCGGGACTTGGGGTGGGGCGGGAGTGGTTTGGTAGCTGGGTCAGCTGGGCGGAACTTAATGGGGGGGTGGGTCTGTTCTAAATTCAGTCAGAAGGGGCTCGGGTGGGTGGGGCTCAGGGGCGGGGCCCTGAGCTCAAGGGGGGGGGGCTTGTGAGCGGAGCTTAGTGGGGCGGGGCTCTGGGTGGGGCGAGCGCACATACCTTAAAGTAAGCGAACTGCAGGAACTTGTAGGGCTCGCGCTGCTGAAAGTCGGCCAACACCGCGCGGCTGGGCTGTGACTGACGGAAGGCGGGCAGGCCCTGCTTGCAGCGCTTGAGACACTGCGCCCGGCGCAGCACGCCGCCGAAGAGGCGCAGCTCGG